CACACACACACACACACACACCTCGTCGTCTGAACTGTCCTGGAAGCCCTGCGCCAGAGATGAGCTGAGCGACGCAGCCTTGGGCTCCAGATAGCAGAGACACAGCGCCAGCGGGAAGGAGAGCGTGAGCGCGTACGGCACCGAGAACGAGGTGGAGAGCAGGAAGAAGAAGATGAAGAGGAAGCAGGGGATGAGCGAGGGAGATTTGATGGGCATAAAGTGATGCAGGCTCTCGGGCAGAAAGCGCAGCTCGGTGAGGTCGGGGAAGCTCAGGTAACCGTCCTCATCCAGCAGCGAAGGCAGATCAGGGAGGTGCAGCGAGAAGGAGAACAGCGTTCCTCCTCGGCTCTGGTTCAGTCTCTGTTTGCGTGCAGACAGAAGCAGCGCTTGTTCCTCCAGCAGAGCCTCTTTACGGTCCGCTTGGGCCTGACGGCGCCGGCAGCCCGCCGTGGTTTTGGCCGGACTGACGGAGGCGGCGCGCTTGCGGCTGCTTTCCCTGCGTCTCCTGCGCACTTTGGTGGACGAGACGGGAGAAGACGGGAGGGAGAGCTCAGATCCCAACGGATCCGATGAGTACAGACACGACTGATGATGATGGAGGGAGAAAACGGCGTAGGGAAAACATGCATGCATAAAAAAGTATGCATGTTTGAAACAAAAATGTGTGGACAAGAGAAGAGCAAGAGAGCTGGTTAGTATTGATTAGACATCCTTTTTGATTATAAAAAAAAAAATTATAGAAATTTCAGAATTTGAGAAAAATAAAACTGAATTTGAGAAAACAAATAGAGCATTTTAAAAGGCATTATTGTTGTTAGAATTTTACTACGTTTTCCAATGTAAAAGTTTTATGAATTGAATTGACTAAACATCCTTTTTGATTACAAAAATAAATAATGTAGAAATTTCAGAAAAAAAAAACTGAATTTGGGAAAAAAGAAATACATTTCTTGGCCACTATTATTGTTAAAATGATATATTATCAAATTGCAAAAGTTTTGTGAATTAAACTTAAAGTAGACATCCTTTTTGATTGTAAAAATTCATAGAAATAAAAACTTATAATTTATCTAAAAAAAAAAAGAAAAAAGAAATAATAAAACTGATTTGGAGGAGAAAAAACCCAGATTTTATAGTGTCCTGGTCATACGATTTGTAATAGCAGTTCAGAAGCGTGAAAGCTGAAACAAACCCCATAACAGCAGATCTGCTGATCATCAGTGACGCATTAAAACCATCAGGTACCGAACTGTCATTCATTTGACGGTTACCTTGGTGACGGAGGCGGGCGGGGCTTGTTCTGATTCGTCACTGTTGGCTTTATATTCTTCCTCCACGGAGTTCATCTCCTCTGCTTTCTTCTCCGGCGTTTCTATGGCGATGAAGTCATCTGTAGCGACAGCGGGTTTGGCGTTCTTCTCGTCGTCATGGTTGACTGTCACTGATCACACAGATACATTGTTACGATCGCTCAGAAAAACACAGACTGAGAGAGCCAATCCTCATTCAGAAAAGTTACATTTGATCCTTAACTTCACAGATTTCATCCTACATCAAAAGGGAGGAACAAATCGGTATTTATATATGCAAAAACTCCTTTGCACCTTCTACACCAGCACATAAAACATATATATAAACAAAAAATCACTATATGCATTAACATTATTATACATCAAATGAGCAATATAACTGATTTGCTATAATTGTCACTAAAATTTATTAATTATATAAATTCTAGTGATGCACCAAAATGAAAATTTTGGGTTGGAACCTGAACATTTTATTTAATAATCAATGAATTAATCAAATGTATTTAATAATCAACACTCACGTTGTACAAACATTTAAATTGCAGTTTTATGTCATTTTTTAATAACAGAATTATGTTTTTACTCCAATTTGTGGTTTAAATATAAACATTAAAATGGTAGCTGTAAAAAAAACACCTTTGATTTATTCAAACATATATTAAATAATAAAGACATCAGGTTAAGTAAAAATATAATGAATATGTAATTTAGTCCATATATTTAGTAAAATTCAGTGAATCACCAATACATACTTAATAAAAAAAAATATTATAATATATAATGATGCTAATAATAATTAATAATAAATTGTATTTGTTATTAATGATGCTAATAATAATTAATAATACATTTAATTTATTATTAATTTAATTAATAAATGTATTAACTATATTTAGCAAAATTCTGTGCATCACTGACAAATACTTAATGAATAATTTATAAATAAATAATACTATGTATAATAATACACATAATATATATATATGTGTGTGTATATATATATATATATATATGTTTCAAGTGTACATTAATTGTGATTTATAAAGAAGGATGCATTTAGGACACACAGACTTGTAAAGTATTTGCAGACTCATTTTAGGCACGGCTTTATAAATGAGGTTTTTACTCAGTAACTTGACTAGCAGGTTAGTGTGAGTTAGCAGCGTTACGCACTGCTGTCCATGCTGGCTGTGACGGTGTGCCGTCGCTGGAACTGCGGCGCGGCTCGAGCGATCTGAGCGCTCGCGCGACGCGTCTGTGCTTGTGTTCGTCCGCTGTAGCGGAACTTTGAGCCCAACGACAGGAAGCGCTTGGGAGGAGCTTCAGGAGAAACCAGCCTATCAGGACGCAAGAATCAGACCGCTAGTTAGTGATCGTTTACACTTACGCAAAATGTGTCTGATGCTTTTAATGGCAATCTTTCACATTTTCAAGCGCATAAAAACAAATTATGTGGTTTTTATGATGACACAACATTTATGTTTATACCACAGTGATTTGGTAATAAAAATAAATAAATAAATCAATAAATACCTCAAAGAGGAGAAAGATTCTTATTTATTTATTTTTGTTAATGATAACAACACTGAAGAAACTAAAATATTTAAAGAACATTATGGCAAGCGCAATAAAAAATGCTAACTGAAACTAAACAAAATATAAAAAATTATATTTTATTTTAGCTAGTTGCCAAAGCAACATTTTTCATTTTCATTTAATTTAACTTCATGAACTAAAATAACTAAAAATAAAACTAAAATTAATAATTTTTTAAATAAAATTAATTAATAAAAACTATTTTAAAAATAAACAAAGCAGAAAATATAAAAATATAATAAAAATAAAAGCTAACTTAAAATAATTATAAAACTATTTTATTATTATTAATAAAACTATTATCTCAATGATACTAAAATAACACTAAACTTTTATTTGAAGCACTAAAATGACAAACTGAAATAAAAATGAATAAAAACATTAAATATACATACATTTAAAAAACTAATAGAATGACAAAAACACAATTTCAGATTACTAAAATTAAAATCAGGGAAAATATGAAAATGAAACTCAAAATATTAATAAACACTATATTAGTATCTCAATGATACTAAAATAACACTAAACTTTTGTTCAATTTAAATTGAAGCAGTAAAATGGCAAACTGAAATAAAAAATTAGTAAAAACTAAACAGACATAAAAAAAAAAACATAAAAATGACTAAAACAATTAAAATCAAAAGGGAAGATATAAGAAATAAAAAATATTATATATGAACACTACTGACCTGAAGAAGGTGTGATGCTCCACACAAACTTTCCAGAGTCTCTTTGCTGCTTTGTGATTGGAGAGTTTGAATCCGATGGTGCTCTCGAACTCTTCCAGCTGAGCGAAAACAGAAAGCCAAGCATCTGAGACTCGTTCAAACAGCAAATTCAGATTCTTACATTTAATCAGTGAATTAGAATAATAAGACATTTGGGCTGTTAGCAAGCAAATTAAATCAGTATCAATTCATCTTTGCAATGCAGAGGAAACACAGAAGCTGCGTCTGAAGAGGCGTTTAGATGCGTTTACACACAAGACATGAATGCATTTAACCTGCAGTTACTAATGCATAAATAATGTGTTGATATATTAAACATAAAACCTTGAATACTGATATTCGAAATTATCTAAAAAAATAAAAAAGATACTTTAAATGTGAAATTAAACCCGCCAGTAGGTGGCAGCAAGCCA